TATAACAAAATTATCAGTTTGGCATTTTTGCTTAATGAGCAGCTATGATTTTATTATTAAAATTTCCAGTGCTCTTGAATAAAATCACTCAATTCCTATCTAGACAATTAGCCTTCTGACCCAGAATCTTCTATATAAGTTTATCTTACTTGGTTAATTTCCGAAAGTTTTAATACAGGTTCATATAATAGAGTAGATATTGAAGTTGCATCAAACACTTCATTTATTCTTGTTATTATTTCATTTCTAATGTTAGTTGCCAAATCTAATATCCTTTTATGGTGTGCTAGCCATAAAGCAATATCAAATTTATTATCTAGCTGTTTGAATTGTATTAGTCAGTTTGGTAATGAATTATCTGTCATTACTTATTATATTAAACCAATTTATTTGTATATATATAATCTGTTATTATTTATTTATCCTGATTGAAAAATAAAAAAAAAAGTCATATTAAAATGCCTAAGAATAGCTTCAAAATTTAAAAAAGGAAATTAATAATTAATCAAGTAAGATTGTTTGAATTTCGAAGCCATCCTAAATTATGCCTATAAATTTAAAGTAATAACATTAACATCTCTGTAATTTAACAAAAAACTATTATTTTCATAAACTAGTAAAGAAATATTATTTTCGTGAACTAGTGAAGAGATATTATTTTCATGAACTGATAAAGAAATATTATTTTCATGAACTGGTGAAAAGATGTTATTTTTGCAAGCTGGTGAAGAGATGTTATTTTGCAAACTAGTGAAGAGATATTATTTCTATGAGCTAATAAGGAAATATTGTTTTCATAAACTGATAAAGAAATATCATCTCTGTAAATGTTATTGTCACTTTCATTATCTGACAAAGAAACTTGAAATGCAACATCATTATTTTCATGACCTATTAAAGAGGTAGTATTATCTTCATATCTTTAAATAGAATTATATTTTCATATTTTATTGAAACTAAAAAACTTGTAGCTTGTTAATTTGGTTTATATTTTTGTGTTCTCTTAAGAGCTAAATTTGTAACTTTATTATCTGGAATATTAATAAGCAAGGTATAGTAATAAGTTAAATAACAATAAAATAAATAATACTTTTATATAACATATCTGTTCACTTTTCAGCTGTAGTTTCTTTAGGTGCTTTTAATTCTATTATAAAAAATATATTTAAAAAACTATCAATAAACATATAACAACATTGTTC